ATACCGACCCCCCCCCCCCCCCCCCCCCCCCCCCCCCCGCCCCCGCGCGTCCCCGGGCCCCGGGGGAGGCGGCGCTCCGGCCTAACCTGTGTCTACGAAGTCCTACGGAACCCCGAGGGTTGATGGAGGCAGTAAAAAATTGTGGAGCCTTTTAACTGTGCAATAATTTCTGTATTTATTGGGTTTTTGTAATTTTTTTTTTTTTTGGCATGTGCAGGTACTTTTTATTATTATTCTTTGTGTTTAAATTCTTTTAAGAGATTCTGTTGGGTACCCATCCCTTCTTCGTTTTTGTTGTTGTTGTTTTTTTTAAAACCCAGTAGTAGCCTGGAGCAATGTAGAAGGGAAGCTTATCTTTTAAATTATAATTTGGGGGGGAGGGCGCTGCTTTTTTGAAATTTAAGCTAAGCATGTGTAATTTCTTGTGAAGAAGCCAACACTTAAATGACTTTTAAAGTTGTTTACTTTTTTAAAAAAAAAATTCCTTCTTTGGTCCTGAAATAAAATATGGCATGCGTTGTTTTTTTTTTTTTTTTTGTTTTGTTTTGTTTTTCTGTTTTTGGGTTTTGGTTTTTGTTTTTTGGGGGGAAGGGGGGGTGGATGTGTATACGGCGGATAACAATCTTTAAAGTTGTAGCACTTTGCTTCGGAGTTGGAATGGAGATGTAGCACTGACGATGCCCTGAGTAACAGAGGCCTTTTCTGCAACCTTGACGTCATACAAGGAAACATTTTAGTGGTGGGGGGCCCCCACCCCCAAACCCGCCCCCCCCCCGCACTGCCGAGAAATGCGAGTTTTTCCGAGCTGCCGGCTGAATGGCCCGAGAACGTTCTACAGTAGTGCATCACCAGCAGATACTGGCCTTTTCTTGGGGTGTGGGTGTGCCCCGGGATGCCGGCTTGGCTCTTTGCTGTGGATTAAGCTACATAAAATGGGCTGAGGGTACTTTTTTCGTAGCCGGTGGTGACCTGCCGTGACACAGAAAGGAAGAAAGCCGCGGTATTCTTTCAGGCTTCTGGCTTGACTGCTTCTGTCTCTCTCTCTCTCTGTCTCTGTCTCTCTGTCTCTCTCTCGCCCCCACCACAAAAAATCCCAAGTCCTGTATTGCTACAAGCGATAACTGACCATGTCTCAAGCAGTCAAGTGCCCTGAATGAGGTGAATTGAATCGAGAGGAGTTAGTATTCTCTCATTTAATGCACACACATGACATTGTACGGACAGGGGGGAATGTCTTGCGACTTTCTGTTCCCTTTTACTGGAAAAGCAGGGAAAGAGTTCCAACCGAAGGTGCCCAGCGCTACTTCCCAATTTTCTTTTTTTTCTATCCCATTAGGTTGGAAGGTACTAAACATTGGACTGTTAAGATTAGACCCTGGAATTCTGTTGACCCGCACTTTAAAGCTTTTGTTTGCATTTAAATTAAATGGCTTCTAAACAAGAAATTGCAGCATATTCTCTCTGGCCCAGAGGTGGGTTAAACTGTAAGGGGCGGCTGAGATGGAGTGTCAGTGTTGCTAAGCGTGGCATTCACAACACTGGCACTATAAAGAACAAAATAAAATAATTTATTGGACAGTCTTTCTACTGCCATTCAATTTGACGTTGAGTGCCTTGAAAACTGATCTTCCTATTTGAGTCTCTTGAGACAAATGCAAAACTCTTTTTTTTTTTTTTTTTGGGAAATGAAAAGACTTTTTAAAAGAGTAACAAGAAAAAGTACTTAGACACAAACGAAGCCACACTTACTTTTAATTAGATTAAAATTTTAAAATTCTGGCTGAAGATAGAGGACATGAAAATGCCATAAGGACCCAATCAAATGAAGAAATAAACCCAGCACAACCTGGGACATCCTTAGCTGAATGATCCTCAAGCCCTTTTGTTTTTGGGGAACAACGCTGCTTAGATTTGGCGTGGAGGTGACTTACTGCTGAATTAAAACTCAAGTGACAGAAGTTAACACGCTGATATTGTTGAATGAAAAACAAAACAAAACAAAAACAATTCAGGAACAATGGCTAATTTTTTTTTTCTAAAGTTAAATTTAGTGCACTCTGTCTTAAAAATACGTTTACAGTATTGGATACATACAAGGGTAAAAAAAAAATCGTGTGTATGTGTGTTGGAGCGATCATTTTTTTTCAAAGTTTGCTTAATAGGTTATTAAAAAAATGCCACAGTGGCTGCGTGTATATTGTTTTCTTTTGGTGACGGGGTTTTAGTATATATTATATATATTAAAATTTCTTGATTACTGTAAAAGTGGACCAGTATTTGTAATAATTGAGAATGCCTGGGCATTTTACAAAACAAGAAAAAAAAAAAAAACCCTTTTCTTTTCCTTGAAAATGTTGCAGTAAAATTTAAATGGTGGGTCTATAAATTTGTTCTTGTCTCAGTAACTGTAAAGTCAGTTTTAGTAAATTCTTTTCTGCCTTGGGTGTTGAATTTTTATTTCAAAAAAAATGTATAGAAACTTGTATTTGGGGATTAAAAGGGGATTGCTACACCATGTAGAAAAAGTATGTAGAAAAAAAGTGCTTAATATTGTTATTGCTTTGCAGAAAAAAAAATCACATTTCTGACCTTGAACTTATTTTTCTCTTCCCACCCCCCTCTGGAATGGATATATTGGTTGGTTCATATGATGTAGGCACTTGCTGTATTTTTACTGGAGCTTGTAATTTTTTAACTGTAAGCTTGTCCTTTTAAAGGGATTTAATGTACCTTTTTGTTAGTGAATTTGGAAATAAAAAGAAAAAAAACAAAAACAAACAGGCTGCCATAATATATTTTTTTAATTTGGCAGGATAAAATATTGCAAAAAAAAATTTGTATGTGAAGTCCTATTGTACAGGAGAAAGAGTTGTTTGACAACCTTTGAGGGAAAGAAACAAAAGGAAGTCGTTAGATGCTTTGGTTCACAGATCATTTTAGTTGTATATATTTTTGTCGAAATTGGCCTCTACAAAGGACTGTTCGAGCAGGGCTTCTCCCCGAATGGCCCGAACCTTGCATCAAGGCTCCCTGGTGTGGCCGCAGCAGACCCGATGGGAAATCCTGTATTCGTGTTGAGTGGGGAAAGTTGGTTTTTGTAAAGATGCCAGTAACATCTCGCAGGGCCCCCTTGTTCTCTAAGAGGCCATCTGCGAGATGTCAGGCGTTCGAGGAGAGAGCGGGAGAGCATCTTCCATCTCTACCGTCCGCCTTGGCGGTCACCACCACATCTGCCCTCGAGGGCAGAAAGAAATGCAGACCGAGCTTGCTTTAGTCCTTGGGAAAACGTGAAACAGACATGTAAGATGCAGGAGAAGGAGCTGGTGAACCAGCCGGGCACTGGGGCCGCGAGCTGCTGTTGAGACCAGCACAAACTGGATTTCAGGAAGGAGTCCCGTCCCAGCCAGGGCCTCTCGTTGCCGCGGAGAGTGTTGGCCTGTTGTCTTTCTTACCTGCTCTGCTGCTTTTCCCGCTGAAACCCACATTCCGTCCGTTTCCGAGTGCCAAGGGCCTGGGATGAATTCGGTGCCTTTCCATCTCTCTCTCCTTCCTCTGCGTTTCCTCTCCATCCCTCTCCAGCCTCTATCAGCCCTTTGTCCTCTTCATTTTTATTTAATTTCTTCTCTCCCTCCCTCCCTGTACCCCCTCGTCCTTCTTCTTCTTCTTCTTCTTCTTTTTTTTTTTTTGTAAAGCCAAGTAGCTTTAAGATGAAATAAAGTGGTGGTGTTTTGGATGAGGGAATAATACATTTTTTAAAAAAATAACCTATATCAGGAAGCCATTTTTTATTTCAGGAACTGTAAAAACCATTATTTCAGGTTATGAAAGTATAACCAAGCATCTTTTTAGGCAATTTCTTTACCAAATGCAGGAATCTTTCTTCTGGGAGCTTTTCCGTTCGGTACCCCCTCCCTCCTTGCCACCTACCTTTGCAAAGTGAACAGAAAAGGGGAGGAGGGGAGAGAAAGCTGAGATGTCAGTTTCCTACCTGCCCCACCTGCCCCGACCTGAAGACCCAGGGGCTGCCCATTCCTCCGGATGCCCTGTTAAGGTTACTTGAGAGCCTCCAAGGAGGTCCTCTTGTCATTGAGAAAGCTAGCCAGCCCTCACCAGCTTACACAAAGTCACCCGAATGCTAGGACGAAGCCATCCTAAAGCACAAAGATTGTGTGTCTCTGTCGACCGCAGAGAAGAAGCGCATTATGCTTCTCTTTCACGTTTAAAAAGCCAACCCTGGAGCAGATGACGCAGTGAGAGGGGCCCCGAGCCTGGGTGACCAGCCCACCTGGGGCCAGTTTCCATACTGCCACGACTTTGTTCAAAGTTGCCCCAAATTGGAACCTGCCACTTGCCATTAGAGGGTCTTTCACGGGGAGATGGGGAGGCTGAACTACTCTAAGCAAAACGCAAAAAGTAAGGAAGCCAGCCTTTCATCCCAGTCCGAAGCGATGCAGCGAAGGTTTATGTTGCCACAGGCAAACCCGTGATTTTGGTGCTCTTTCTATCTCAAACCCTGCAAAGCAAAGTTCCATTGATTTAAGTTGTTTGCATTTGTACTGGCAAGGCGAAATATTTTTATTACCTTTTCTATTACTTATTGTATGAGCTTCTGTTGTTTACTTGGAAGTTCTGTCTTTTACTACAAGTTTGGAACTATTTATTATTGCTTGGTTTTTGTGCTCTGTTTAAGAAACAGGCACTTTTTTTTTTTATTATGGATACAATGTTGAGATGATAGGAAGTCATTTCAATATGGCTTAGTAAAATATTTATTGTTCCTTTGATTCTCTGTACAAGATTTTGGGCCTCTTTTTTCCCTTAATGTCACAATGTTGAGTTCAGCATGTGTCTGCCATTTCATTTGTACGCTTGTTCAAAACCAAGTTTGTTCTGGTTTCAAGTTATAAAAATAAATTGGACATTTAACTTGATCTCCAAGCCTGGTCCTCTTCTGTGTCTTTTAGGGGTGGGGGAC